AAAAAACGCCATGCTACCCCATAATTCCCCATCTTCTTCCCTTCCCTTCAAGCTCAAACAAATTCAATTGCCGCTTATCGCTTGCCAGAAGAAGAAGAAGAAGAAAAGTTTCGTATGATATGATACAAGTTTGAATGAATTTTAGTATGCCCGATCCGATCCGATGAAAAAAGGTAAAAGACAAGGTTGAAAAGCGCTGTGTGTGCAATGGAAGAAGAAGTGCAAGCCAGAGCAAATGGAATGAAATTAGAAAAGTCCTATGAATGAACTAGAGATAGCGCGTGGTCCGAAATACTGAATTCAATATCTACCGCAAGCACAACGGTGCTGAATAGTAGAAATTGATCAAGGAAAGATAGCCGGCCAGTGATAACTCGACTTGGAAGATACTAGAAGAAGTAATATCCATGTAAGTCATTTGATCAATCATGAATGATCATGTGACTATTGAGCCACGGGACAAAGGCTAAGATTTGCTTCCTTTCGATACATTGCATCTCGTACGCTCAAGCTTGAACTCGGCCTAATTGAAGTTTTTTTTGTATATCCGGATGTGATGATCAAGATTCACAATACTTCCTCCTGATCATCAACCGCCATAGCGTCGACCTCTTCATCATTAGCGGTAGCAAGACGTTCTTGAAGGAATGCTGTCATAGCCACCAGAGATGATTTGTCAGCTTGGGTTAATGGCTTTTTCGTAGAGAGCTTGGATGCATCTCCTTGTGCTATTAACTTAATAACTGGTTCATCAGCTTCGGACTAAAGGGGTTTCAGGTTAGCGTTTGTATTACGTCACTATGTTACGTAGGTGTAAGTAATAATGGAGAGTGGATCAAAAAAACTTACAATTAAGGCATCAATTAGATCTTGTGTAAGATTGATCGACGGATTGGCAGTTGCTAAATATGCAAGATTGAGCGCAGCTTGTTGTTCATCGATATCACGTCTATTGAATTCGACGATTTGTGGTCGTGATTGTAAACTTGGGATCGATGTTCTATTGTTGGCAAAGCTTCGTTGATTGTATTGACCAAATTCACGATGAATCCTACAAAATTCATCAGTAATTGAAAATGCAACAACTGGGAAGGAAAAAAACATACCGTGAAATGAAGTCAAGCTTAATACCGTCCTCTGGAAGTTTGTACACATGACCATATTCTCTCTGCTCGTAGAAGCCACTACCTTGATCTTCATCTTCAGAGACAGTATTCTCAATCTCAATGTGGCCATTATTCTTGTGACCACGAGGCAAAACAGGCTTGATGAGTGAGGCTCCTTTGATCTTTCGGTAACGATGAGCTGAGCCCAAAGATCCTGGCACCTGCTCGAGAAGATCATCAACATGAGCTGGGCATCTCCAAGATTTTCCAGGTGGAGGTTCTTTTGCAAGTGGAGGATCTAAACAATCTAAATGCCACGAGAGACTGCAATAAGAACATGGAATAATTGCTCGACTTGGTTGAGATGCTGAGAGGTGGCAGTTATGACAGATGATTGGATTTCCTTTGTTATCTTTTAACCTGAAGTAATCCGGAGCTTCGTCGTAACCTCGATTATTTCTGGTAGAAGGTTAGTAAGAAGTCAGGATGACTACCAGATGTAAGCTTACTTTGGTTTTTGTACGACGCCTTCTTCGTACTCTCCTTCAGCTCCGGTTTTGACGTTCTCAAAATATTCCCGAATTGCTTTTGGGAGATGGAAAGCACTTGGATTCTTTCTCTCCAAGTTTGCTAACAAAGGACCGAAAAAGCCAACTTCCTCTTCCTTCGACCGAGGGATATTTCGTGCAATACATGCGTTACAATACCACTCTTCATCTGCCAACGTACCTGGGTCGATTGGAGGATCTATACATTTGAAGTGGAAAGAGCGAGAGCATCCATCACAACAAAGTAACTGACCGTTACCTCCACAAGACGCACAGTAGTCGTCATTCTCTGAGCCAATCTGTTCATGCATATGTCAGCTTTTGATGATTCCATTCCCATGATGAAAAAACCCTTCAACAACAAATAATACGATCGTGAATAATGATTATGAAGGTGGCAAGGTTTCATGTGTGGGGGTGTCCTGGCTCGGCAAGTACGGAGATGGGTCTAATGGTAGACAATCCACCATCCATCATCAGAGTTTGCGCTATCCGCCCGGACTTTAGACATAATTCTTTTTGGGCAATGCCACAAGAACCCAGCCCCCCGAATATTGAAACAACAACGCAACATAATGTAACAAAATACAAAAATGTAATTCGAAATACATCAAAATATCATTATCGTTTCATACGAAAATAGGAGGGACTCCCAACGAATGATGATTAATGTATGATGATAATGTATGATGATAATGATAGTGATAATAATAATGATGCTGTATGATGTGTGATGGGGATGATGATGATAATAATAGTGATAGTGATATTGTATGATGTGTGATGAGGATGAGGATGATGAGGATGATAATGATGATGATAATAATGATGATGAACGATACCGTGTAGATGATCTAAAGAAAAGGATACAATGAAGGGGTTGAAGGTTGGAAGTTTGGAATTGGAATGACCGAAAAAGCGATAAAAAAAAGCGATGAAGAACTTTACAACATCGTCTATTCATCCTTTATTTATCATCATCGCCGTTACTTCATATATGTAAAATAAAAATAAATAGCTTACCGGTGCATTTGTATAAGAACCTCCTCCAACTGGACTATCTCGTTCACCGCTTGCTCTTGGAATACCAGCTGAAGGGCCGCTCTTTTTTTTCATTGGTCTGTGCGAGAGGAAAAGAATTGTTAGCAATTATTTAGTTGGTCATTGAAATAGAAAAAAGAAACGAAACGTAACAAAACAAGAGAAGAAAGAAAAAAATAATTCAAGTTCAATTCAAAGTGAAAGAAAGTTCCGTTTGTCGCATGCATTGTACAACACGAAAACACAAAAAGTATGTTGGCAAGCGCAACGAGGGCCCCTGAAACAATATGTGAAGGGACGAGGATACAAAGGGATGGAGATTAAGTAATAATCAACAAAATTTAAAATACAAAATCCTTCGAGGGATGTAGAAATACAAATCTGACGTGATACAAAAGACATAGAAATGAAATATGGGAACATACGAAGTTTTGACACGTAGACCAGTGCCATTCTTGGCCTTTCTAGATGGTCGATTAGATGAGGGCGTGCCAGCACGGGAATTTGATAATGATCCAGGAGGTAAATCTGCTTGAAATCCAAGTCCTGTGGGTGAACTCATTTCCGAATCGTAATTGGTGACCGAAGCAGTAGCAATTTGTCTTCTGCTGGCTCGTTCGCTCTTAGTGACTAATCGGATAGCTTTGGTTGGACGGCTAGAAGTTGCTGCAGAAGCGGAAGCAGGAGCAGTAGGAATAGACACAGAATCCCCTCCATCAGATGCATATTCAACACCTCGAACTGGAGTTGCAATACTTCTTGGTTCTATGTCGGCACGTTCAAAACTCTCAACCCGTAAGTCTTCAGTGATACCGTTGGTAATTTCTCGCGCCTTGCGCTTCCATTTACCAACCATCTCACTCTCTTCATATGTAGGACGATCAATTGCCTGCTTCTTCTTTGATTTCCATACGATTGATGGCTTTTTAAGAACCACTGGCTTTAACACTGGAACCAATCCAACAGAAGATGACGAAGAGTTACGGACCAATTCAGGCGCCATATTTGAATTTGCCTGATTATTGTTGGTATCAACACGAGAACTTGAATTTGTGGCTGTATTATTGAATCTTGTCGGAATGTTGATAGCAGAGAAGGATGGAGTCGCGGATGACGAGGTTTTAGATTTGTTTAGAGGTCGACTCTTATTATTGGAATTATTTGATGAAAATGTGTCTGATTCGAACCTAGACAAATCTTTTGATCTTATTGGTTGATTTTGAATGACTGACCCTCCAGAATTTGAATGGGTCTCGGTTGACACGGACGCACCAAATTTGACCTTGTCATTGGCGTTACCCGCCCCAACAATATCCTGGCCCTTGGATTGTTCGAAACCATCCGAAGGCTTTGTTGTACCAACATGATTATGAGCGTGGTCAAATTCCATAGGACTAAAATCCTCATTATCGAGAATTTGTTCATCAACTGAAGATAATGATGATGTGCTTGAAATCGAGACTGCTCTTGGTCGATCCGATAATTTAGGTAATGGAGATGATAAAAGTGCAGCGGGAGAAGAAGCCGGTACAACTCCGTCCTGCTGCTGCTTCGTGATTTCATCAGCTCCGGTTGCACTTGCATCGAGATTACTATTTATTTCCTCATTCGTAGCTGTAAAACTATTTGCTTTGTGCTTCTTATTGGGGTGAAGAGCACAATCTCCTTCCTTTCGTGGCGATAGAGATGTGGAGGATGCTGTTTCATCTGGCAAACGTCTGACAGGATCACCAGCTCCTGCTGCTGAATCATTGTTGGTAGAAGAAGATGGTGGCGGCTGAGGTGCCTGAGCGTATATCGAAGCATACGGAGAGGAATATGGCTTTATTGTTTCGAATATCGGGTTGAAAGGTGCGAATACCATAGGTTGAGTGGTTGGTGGTGCTGGAGCTTGATGACGTCGTGGTCGATATGGTGGAGGATCGCTACCATCTCCGTTGAAATAATATTCAGCAGTCTTGCCCTTTCTGCCTTCCTTTTTCTTGAGCGTGACCAATCTGTAAAACTCCCGACTATCCTCGTTGGTAGCCTCCTCGTAGACGAATTTTGCAGCGAGCATGCGGAAATTCTGTATGTCCTCATCGAAAAGTATTCGTAAAGCATATGCAGTAGACCAACGCTGCTCTTCGATCGCTCGAGATACAGCTAGTTCTATAATTTTAGCAGTCTTCCTCCGAAGAGCGGCCAGTTCTGCACGAGCTCGACCCTCCTTTTGACGAGCCTCATCTCTTTCATCGTATGTATAATTTATATTTCCATTATAGCCCAAAGAAGAAGCTAGAGAAGGTGAATGTTGTAGGACTGGTGCGCATTGGGCTGAAGAAGTCGCATACATGTTAGGTCCTTCACTTTCGTTGCCTGCACTTTGAGGAACGGCACTCGATCTAGTAACACTTCTTCGCGCGCTTCTTGGTTGTTGAGGAGTCGAAGGTGCGTTGTATTCGAGGTCTTCGATTCTTGTAGATGTAGATCGTCGTCGCGAAGCGTTCGGGATATGTTCCGAAGTGACTATCACTTCTTGGGGTGCTTCTTGTGGTGTGGCCGATAAAGAAGGAGGAGCAGCATCCATCATTGTAGCAACGCCATCAAGTCCACTTCCATTCGCATCTCCAGCTTCGGGTTTGGCAGAAGATTTAACAGCTTTCGCGCTCGGTCGCGTTCCAAGTGGTGCCATATTTGCGACCACCCCGTGCCTTTCCATTCCAGCTTCCGCAAAAGATGGTAAAGGCGCAGGAATAGGAGGCTCCGTCCATTTGTCCATAAACGTTCTTTTTCGACCTGTATCTGCGACGGTAGCTGGAGATGAATTCGGATTGCGTTGTGCGGACACAAAAGGGCTGGAACGACGAGAGCGTGTTGGGCGGGAATTGAGTTGGCTCATAGCTTCCTCGATCATCGCCTCCTGCGACCGACTCCTTTCAATTACGATCGCACTTCCAGAACAACTAATGAATTGTTAGTTCAGGGATCATATCATTTAAATGAGTTTCATGTACTTCTCTTCGATTTGCAATCATGCAAATGTTCTCAAATGCTGTTCTCAAGGGTTATGTACGCGTTCAATTATCGTGGTATGATTGAATTGAGGAAAGAAAGTCAAGTTCTCGCTTCGAGATGAAATCCCTTAGCTAGCGCCCCTTGAGAGCCGAAATCGTTGGGTCCGCGAAATAACAAAAGGTATATGACGGAATGAAGATCTATTAAGCTTTTGAAGGTGTTGTAGAATTTCTAGATAGAATCGAAAATCGGTAAATGATTCTAATCATTGATCTTTCGATGAAAAAGTACTTTTCTCGAAGGAAATATATCCTCCTATTTCAAAGGTGATCGCGTAAGTTTGTCTCGTGTACTCATGGAAATCATGTGAGAAGATACCATAAAAAGAAGAGTGGAGGAAGAAAGCAGAAGGGAGGTGTACCTTACTTATTTCTTGTTATTGTGAGCCTGGATCGATTAAGAACAATAGATCGAAGGAGGAGAAGAGAACCTTTTGAAGTGGTGAATTGAATGGAATCTCCCACCCTTATCGATACCAAAATGAACTAATCGGAAAGATCTTAGGATCGCTTAAGAAACTGCAAATGTCTTGTTAATTTCCTCAAATGCTTTGAATGAATGAAATCGATGGAAAGGACACCAAGCTAAGCTTGTAAAGTTTCTCAAGAGAAATTGGTTTTGTTTCTTGGTTGACTACCTCAATCTTGGAAGCGAAGAAAGTGCCCACTACTGTGTGATCGATGATGGATGGGTTGGTGGTTGTTGAGTCAAACTAGACCGTAATTTCTGGAGTTTGCCTTCGACCTAAGTTACCTAACTACGCTAACCGAGTATTTGAAAATGAGGAGGGGCTGTACTCTTCTTAGGTGGTGGTAGGCTACACGTCACATCAATCTATCTGTATCAATATATAGCTTAAAATCAATGAGACGTAGTAATCATAAGGTTGAATTCACTTGCACAAGTAGTCAAGTAGTCATAGTTTGCTGCATATCTCTGAATTTGAGAAGCTTTCCACTGCCTAATAAAACCTCCCTATGGGATGCAGACCCGAGTTACGATATTTATCGCTTGCTCGCCCTAATGAAAACAATAGATGAGGTAAGAACAGTGAAATGCTTGACAAGCTTTATGAAGCAGTGTCGGCAGCAAGGAACGTAGATATATGAAGAGCAAATTTCCATGTTGATGCATGAAACAGACCATTTATCACCCTCAAGCGATTTAGTCGTAACATCTCTCTTCCTCTTATCACGTGTCCATTCCTTATCTACCTTTCTCTACTCTGCTGCAGAGGACTTCTTGCCAGTCTTCTTCTTCTTGTCCTTAGCCAAAGGCTGCTCCAAAATCTTGAGGATCTCTTCGTCAGTGATCTTCTTATCGGTCTTGAACTTGCTAAGATCTGGCTCGGGGGGCGAGGCAATCTTTTGTACACCGTTTTTGGTGATTGCTGAACATGTTAGTTTAATATTCTGAAGGGCAACCGTTGATCTACGTACCGATTGTGGTCAACAATCTTCCGACAGGCTCGTGGTCCTTATCTCCAACAACTTCATATTGTCTGAATACGTTTCCACGTACACACTCGACAACACCAACCTTGGCATCTCGCTCAGAATCCAATTGTCGCAAACTGAATGGGAAAGTGCCGAACTTCTTCACAACCTCGTTCATGATTGCTCTAGAGCTTGGTCGCTTCAAAGCGTATGTGAGATTAGTACGACGGTGAAGAGTAGATCTGTTCTCGAAGTTCTTGATCTTTCCAGAGCCAAGAGAAACGCCCATCTCAACACCCCAAACTTCACCAACCTCTGGAACACCATCACCCCTTGTACCATCTCCTGGAGCAAGAATGATCTTCTTCTTTCCTTCAATTTCGTTGCGCTCAAACTGCCAAGAGGTGGTGTGCTCGACCAAGTTACAGTCGTAACTCTTTACCAACTTCTCGAGCAAGCTGGTGATCTTGGCTTGGGTAGGAGCTCTAACAGCTGCTGCCTTCTTCTTCTCCTCTTCTGTGCCAGTTGCGAGTAATCCGGGGGGGACCATCAAACGTAACAAAAGCTCATTTGCATGGTGTGTAGCCAACAAAAGATCTGCATCTCTTCCAGTAATCTCTCCATTTTCGTGTTCGGCAGAATGGATGATGATGGTATCACAGACAATTGTTCCGAATCCGTCAATTTGTGCACCGAGTTGAATTTTGACTGATTCGCCTTCTTTGAGGACAACGGAGGCTTCGGCTACGTCCGAGGTAAGAGGAGTATAAGGTGTTACGAAGGCTGAAGGAGAAACAGTGGTTGGATGGCCAATACCTTTTTTGTTTGTTAGCCATATACATATGATATGATAGATATAGAAGCCTGCTCACCCTTTATCATCTTCTTTCCTCGGTAAACCTTTGCGATTTCTTCCTCGAGGAGCTTGTCACCCTGCTCGCAAATTGTCACAATTTTCTCGCCAGCTACGCACAAGGCAGTAACAGCCTCCAAGACCTTTTGGGAGATCTGAGCAGCATTCTTGTATTTGGTGAGAGTATCAGGGTTGTTGAGGGAGTAGTCTAAACGTATTTAAATCATTAGTCAATGATTCTTTACGTTGATTCCAAGCTGGTTGTGCAAATTCTTGTGTCTTGTTTTTTTCGAGTCGCATTGGCGGGGTTCATCTTCCTCCACCAACATCAACAACAAAAGTAAGACGGAATTAATTGGTTTAATTGATTTAACAAGAATAACTAACCAATCTCCTGGTTTTCTTCTTTCTTATCGGCCATGATTGCGATGTTATTTTATGTTATGTTGAGGGGTAGGTAGGTATTTTGAAGGTTTAGTATATTTGAAGGTAGTTGTAAATATGGGGGATTTGTTGTTGTTTAGGTGCAAAACCGTGTTTTCTTATTTTCCCCCTTGGTAGGTTTCCTCAACCTCAGTACCTAGGTAGGTAGTATTATCTTGGATTGTGTGGGCTTTGTTTCGCTTGGTGACCTCACCTGAGTGCCTCGACCTTGATGGAGGGAGGCAGTACATATACCATCATACCTACATGACAATGACAATGATAATTCAAATTATATTTCATACTTTAATATTCAATCATAATTACGACATGATATGATTTACTCGAGTAATAGAATTGAATATTTAAATATACTCAAGTATAACTCTAATATAGGTTCTCATACAAAGATAGCATATACATCTGGTCCATTCTACGTACTTGTACTCGACATCCCATCCCATCCATTCGGGAATCTGCGGCCCGCAAAAGAGTAGTGAATCATTGGCTTCCTAATAGCGACATATCAATCGAATATTTGATTTCATTTGATTTATTGAATATGTACTGATCGGTCGGTATATGATAAAATTATGGGTAAGGCATATAGTAGATTACTTCTTTTGTCCAAGATCAACAGGGTGGTCGGTAAAAGGGTTATTGCTACTTATGGTCTTCTTGCACCACCGTAATATTTACTATGGAGTGCTATTCAGACTATCATTGCATTATCAGTTCTCACTAATCTCACGCCCCCTCTCCCCTCCCCCGTGTATTCTGTTTGTCGCGAGTTTAAAGGTTCGCGATTATGAATGAGATTGTAAATTATTGACATTTCAAGATTATTCTCTATAAGCCCGCCCTATTAACCAAATTATTCCACTCACTCTTTAAACACCTATCGCATAAGTTGTCGCGAATGTTTCCGTCATGACACAAGATTTTCAACAGGCTTCACAAGATGAGTCTTCCTCAACTACCACCACAGCTGGACCTTCTGAGTCTGCGAATCCTACTTCACCTCAATCTTCGACTCTATCACATCGGCCTCGAACGAAATCCGATTTTGACAAGATACTACTTGAGCAATACTTTCATCACACTTTGATTCATTCTGCCGCCCTCCTTGATGATCAAGCAAAACGAGAGCTTTTATATCTACGCAAACACGGTGAAGCGCAAGATTACGAGCTGGTGCGAAATCACAAGGATTTCTTTACACCGAGTCGATTATTTGGGACAGGTTACAACGGATACGGCAATGGAGTCACAGATGGGCCAACTAGAATATTGTATCCGCACTCGAAACCGAGGGTTGGGAAGAGGAAAACAAAGCAATTACGAATCAGGCGCAAAGATATGTCCATGCAAGCAGATCAGGTGGAAGAATTGGTACCCATAAGGTTAGATGTGGATTGGGATAAGGTTAAGCTTCGAGATACTTTTACTTGGAATTTTCATGAACGCACCATCTCTCAAAACTTGTTCGCGGAGCAACTTGTGGAGGATCTAGGTCTGGTTACTCCAGCAGCAGAACCAGTACTACAACAAGTTCAGCAGCAAATGCATGAACAAATCCGCGACTTTCATCCCCCAGTTTATACAACAGAAGACCCCCTGGATGAGATGCTACCATATACTGCATATAAGAATGATGAACTGCGTATCCTCATCAAGCTCAACATCACTATTGGACCACTCACATTGGAAGATAAATTCGAATGGGATATTAATAACCCTTTGAATTCTCCAGAAGAATTTGCGCAAAGTATGGCTAATGATTTGTCTCTTTCGGGGGAATTTACAACATCCATCGCACATTGCATACGAGAACAAAGTCAATTGTTTATAAGAAGTTTGTATGGTATTGGACATCCATTTGACGGAAGGCCGGTGGAAGACGCCGATTTGGTCGCTGCATTTTTACCTTCACCTATAGTATCAGTGCTACGGCCACATCAACAGATCAAAGAGTTTGCGCCGTATCTATATGAAATGACTGAAAACGATTTGGAGAAGCACGAGTTAGTATTTTCCCGAGAACAACGAAGACAGAAGAGATCGGTAAACAGGAGAGGAGGGCCAGCTCTTCCAGACCTGAAAGATAGACAAAGAACCGTGAGAACTTTGGTTGTATCTTCTGTATTACCAGGAGCCGCAGCAACAATTGCGGAGAGTCGATTATACAAACGAGTAGGGGTTCCATCAGGAAGAGGAAGACGTGCTGGTTTCGGTCGACAAGATGGTGCAGATCTTTCGGAATCAGATGATAGTGAAGATTCTTCACCGGATTCTCCAGCTATACAAACGAGCCAAGGTACTGCAAGAACAAGAAATATGCGTGGAGCAGCTACAGCTGCACAGCAAAGAATGGCGATTATTGGAAGATCAGAAACTCCAGAAGCTATGTTAGCACATCATCATGAGACAAGAACATCGGCAAGGAAATTTGGTCGTGATGCACGCGACGAAAGTGTGGAGATGCCTTCATTGATGGTCAGAATGAAAGTGCCGAAAGAAAAATTCAGGAAACTTGTCAAAGATTTAAGTAAAGGCCGCCCAAGTCATCCGCAAACCCCTTCAATACCTCGCGCATTATCAACATTCAGTACACCTGCTCCACTAGGATCTATGGGCCCACCTTTAACACCTGGCGTACAGGTTCAACAATTGGCAACAACTCCAGCACCAGCACCAGGACCGCCACAACCAGTACTGGCAGTAGCGGTAGGTCAGATAGGTAGGATTGATGCGCCACCTCCTATACCTGGTCAAGTTCTACCGGCTGTAAGCTTTTATTTTTCTCTTAATGCATTCCAACACATGATCATTTTACTTTACTTGGCGTAACATCACCACTTTTCCCTCCTAATATCTCTAGTCTCCTATGTTCCTTGATCATCTATGTCCCCTACTTTCCTATGTTCCTTACTCTCACATCCCCCCTACTCTTTTATCTCCCCTATTCTCTACTCCTCAACTCCCCAACTCCCCAATCATTTCAAATCTCTAACTAACACTCTCACTCAGCCACCACCACCACCCACCTGGCTCGCCACTGGCCTCACAACCCTCCACCAACAATATCCCAACGATCGATTCGAAGGCATGATGCGCTACTCCGCCGTCTCCATGGCCTCCGAAACCCCAGTCCCAGCTCCTCAACCAGGCACCAACCCCGAAGGTATCAAGTGGATGTACCTACCCAGAATCAGATGTCACGATTGTCCTGGAAAATTATATACCCCCGGGCCGGACACCACGGTCGGTAATTTTGAAGTCCATTTGAAGAATAAGGGTCATAGGGAGAAGGTTAATTTGAGGTTGGGTCATGCTGGGCAGGGACAGGGACAGGGGCTTGGGTCGGCGGCGGCGTAGGCTGGTGTGACGGACTGACTGACTGACCGATGAGGGAGTGAAGTTTGGAGTTGGGGAATTCATGGATGAATGGATGAATGGATGAATGGATGAATGGATGAATGGATGAATGGATGGAGGGATGGAGGGATAGGTTATAGGATACGTCGATATGGATTAGGCTGGCACGAGCAGATTATAGGAAAGGGGGAATTGTATTATAGCTCAGATCATATCAGATCAAATTACATCAATAGGATAGGATAGGATAGGATAGGGTGGCGTGTCGTGTCGTGGTGCTTGCCGCTTGCCGCTTGCTTATAAGTAATTAACTTATTATAGTATGGGTATAGGTATAGGTATGTACTCGAGTATGATATTCTACTAAAGTACTCAAATATAATGTTATAGAAATCAATTCAATAATTAAATAGATGGATGATGGATGTATATTAGTAGTGATAGATGGCGATAGATGTGATGGTGATGGTGATAGATGGTGATAGTGATGATGTATGTGTACTTATTACTTACTATGTTACTTGAGTGGATAAGTAAGTATATTTATTATATAGTCGGAGTTGCTGAGTGCTGTGAGTTGCTGGGTAGTTGAGTAGATGAATGGATGAATAGATGAGTTGCTAGGTAGTTGAGTGGATGTATATGAGTAGATGAGTGACTAGGTAGATGGGAAGATGAGTAGTTGAGTAGTTGAGTGACTAGGTAGATAAGTAGATGAGTTGCTAGGTAGATGAGTGACTGACTGAGTGAGTAGTTGAGTAGTTGAGTTGCTGGGTAGTTGAGTTGATATATATAATGTAATATAATGTAATATAATAAGATATTATAAAATGTTTTTAACAATAATACCCCAATGTCGATATAGCCTATTATTGAGACTGAGAGTCCAGAGTAGTTGGTTGTATTAGGAGGGGGTAATAGAGATGGAGGGTATGGTATAGGTATAGGTCGATAGAAAGGAAAGGGAGGGAAGAGAGGGAAGAGATTTGGAGGGGGAATGGGTATAAGTATAGAGGGGGGATAGGGATAGAGATATAGGGATATAGGGAGGTTGTAGAAGGGAAAGGGGAAGGGGTTGTACTTGTATTGGAGTTTTAATTGTGGGTGCTGGTGTAAGGGAGGAGTAGGGGAGGGGTTGAGTAAAGAAAGATGGGGGGGTAAAGAGGGAGTATTGATATATATATAGTATATATAGTATATCTGAGAATCTGAGATATTGTATAGAGTTTATTTACTGTGTGTGTGTGTGTGTGTGTGTGTGTGTGTGTGTGTGTATGTGTATGGATATGTGGATATATAAAATGTGAAATATAGGAGTAGAGGTAAAAAGAGAGGGGAAGAGAAGAGAAAATAGAGAGAGGGGGGGGAGGAAGGGAATGAGAAGGAACTTGAAGGGGTATGCGTATACTTGTATAGATATATAGATATGGATACAGGTATAAATAAAGGAGTAAGAATAGGAATAGGAATAAAATGTGAATAAAACTGATAAGTATAAAAACATATAGTAAGTATAATAAGTATAACTGTATAAGTATAGAAATTATAAGGAGAACTTTTTGAATCGAGATTTGGAATTTGGAATTTGGAATTTCAAGGGGACTCGGTAAATATATTATAGAAATCCAATATACTCGAGTATAGTATATTTATTACCTAGACATTGTAGACATTGTACTCGATCGAGTAGACAGATCAGAATGAATATACGATTATATTAAACAGCTTGAAGTACAAGCAAGGAACTTCTATATCTCAATCAATTAGCCTTAATAATAGTTAGTTAGTATCTATCAAATAATACTGATCTACTTACTACTCACTAGTATATATATCTAAAACTAATCGCCTATTCAGTTCAACTGCCCGTTGCCAAGATTTGTTTTCGTTTTTTATTGATTTGTATACTCGAGTATAAGTACTCGAGTATACGAGTATACATTATATTATATTGTATCCATATTCATATCCATACTACAATACTCATACAATACACACAATCGAAAAGAATTTTCTTCTTCTTACGAGTACAATTCATATATGATATATGATATTATCCAACTAGATGGCTACTATGCCATCCATCCGAGACCTGATCTGGTATGGACTTAGATTATCTCAACCCATCATATTACATTGCATCCCCTCCTTTCACTCTACCCTTCCCTACTCAGTAGCACCCTAATTACCCCAATCATCTCGAATCATCTCAATCACCTCACTTTCACTTCACCTCCCCTCCCCTCAGCTCTCTTCCTTTCACCTTACCTAACCTTACCTCATTACACCACATCTCAGCTCTCCTCCTTTCACCTCCTTTCATCTCACCTCACTTCACATTTCCCTATTTAACTCTTCCCTAATACACCTTTCCATACTACAATCGTCTCCAATCACCTCAACCCCCCTACTACTCGAGTACAATCATCTCCAATCCATCATCTCAATCATCTCCAATAATCCCACATTGCCTAGCCTAAACTCTGAAGTGTGTTCTCATTCTCATTACCATCTCATTACCATCTCATTACAATCTCTTTTTCATTCTCAATCTGTATCTCAATCTGTATCTCATTCTCATTCTCAATCTACGCAGCCCATCCCATGATTCCCATCCCATCCCATCCCCTCTCCCCTAAAATAAACTCTGCTTAACAAATCATCAACTACTTCTCATCTCAATAAAAACATCCTATCCCATCCCATCTATTCCATCCATTCCATTCAATCCAATCCAATGTATGCATTGCATTAACCACCACCCACCACCCACCACCAAACCCAAATCAACCAATCAACCCCCCGAAACGCCCTACATCATCAATCTGAATAGAAATGAATAGAAAGAAAAGACTCCTATCAGGATAACCCACTGCATTGCAATGCATTGCATATACGTATATATATATATATATCTCCTCTCCTCTCCTCTCCTCTCCTCTCCTATCCTTTAACCCACGATATACACTCCACTCCGTCTTCAAAAGCGACGATTACGATTAGACTAAGAATGCCTCTGGCCCATCATATAAAAAATAGGTACGAGTAGAATAGTAAGAATACTATTCATATGCTGCCTTCCCACCCGCAACCACAACGCCAAATTATATCAAATCCCCAATCAACCCATGATCAACCCATGAAGAAAGCAAGCCAGCCACCCACCCATCATATCAACCCCAAGAAAACACCACCAGATAGAAATCCAATCCCGATTCAATCCAATCCAATCCAATCCAATCCTAGCCCATCCATCCATCCACCCATCCATCCACACGCAATACATGCTATGTCGGGCCCACCCATATAACCAAAAGGAAAGTTCCGTTCCATTACTTCCCCGTGCATCTATACCATGTGATCCAATCCAATCCAATCCCATCCCATTCTATCCTAACCCTTCCTATCCAATCCCATCCTATCCAATCCAACCACACTAAACTCTCCCAGCTAAAGTCTGTTTCCTGGGCGGAACACCTTGTAACACAAAAGTACTTGGTCTCCTCACATTTACCACACCCAGGCCCGTTTCCGCATTCCCATTCCCACTTCCACTTGCACCCCCATTACCACTTGAATTTTCCCCCATCACATCATCTCCACCTACACTATTCTCCCCATTCTCTATTCCCGGCGCTACTTTTTGAGCTCCTAATCCTTTAACCTTGCAAATATTTAATGTAAACCCATTGGTAGCATTATGCAATTGTTCCCATAATCTCTCATCTCTATATCGATACTGAATGGGATGTTGAATGAGTGGAGGAACGAGAGGTTGCGGATTCCAATTCAAGAGACCGGATTGGACGGCGAGGAGTTCTTCGTCGGAATCGATGGGGCCATTGAGAAGTTCTTCGTCTTCCAGGGGGGCATTGGCGTCGATTGCTGCTTCTGTTGTGGGGGTTAGAGGTTGGCTATATGGGAAAGAGTCGCGGGAGCGGAAATGATGAAAATGGAAGGAGGGAAGAAAGGAATGACATACTTTGTTGTTTAGCTTGATTCTTCTTCTGATATTGTGAGAGAAGCATATCGTAAGGTAAGGTACGACCAGGAACAGCCCTCTTAGCGCCCATAGAATGCGATTTGCAAGTCAAAGAGCGAGCGCAAGGGACGTTATCTTTCATGACTCCACATTGACGTTCTACGTCGACTGGACCTTCGGAAAGGGATAAATTGTTAGCTAAGTGTGCTTTTTGATATAACCTTGATGATCGTCTGTCTCCATGACTGAAGACTTTCATGAAAATGAAAGAAAAGTAAATCGTAAGGTGTATATCTTCAGGACTCCGGGAAGAACTCTCTTGAAGTGAAAGATGAAAGCCTTTATGGAATATCATTCCAATCATCCACTCTCCACGCCTGAAATATTCTGCTTTCGTCGTCCCCGATATACGGTAAGATTGCCAGTATAGTTTTAGAAGTCAAAAATACATACCTTTAGGTTTCGGAGCCTTTGGTTTAGGCTCCTCCTTTTTCTTCTTCTGTTTCGGACCCTTCTCCCCCTCACCATCCGCCTTCCTCTTCTTTCCCTTCGCTTCTCCATTGTTTTTTCCCGCACTCTTCTTCGTACACTTAAACCCCCCTGGACCTTTCTCATCCTCATCATCATCATCACTCCCCATCTTCGTATCACCATCCCCATCCACACCTTTACTAGCTAATCCCTTCTTCTCTCTATCCCTTGCTTCTTTCGCCTCTTTCTTCTTTTGCAATTTCTCCTTCTTAGCCTTCAAACATGCTTTGACATGAAGTGTCGCCGCAGTCTTCAAAATACTCTTCTTGCAATGCTTGCAAACCTGCAAATCGGGACTATCCTCCAATGGTCTTCCCGTCGCAAATGTTTCGCGCGCATAATCATCCAGGATATTGACTACCGGTCCCGGACTCGGAATTGAATTATTATTTGGTGTATCTGTTCCTTTCTTCTTGTCGTCGACTATGTAGCCTGGTTAGCCCCTCATCCTAGAAGTCGAGTTGTAGTACTATAGGGATAACTACCATCAATAATACTTCCATCCCTCCAATTACCAGGCTTGTTATGTTTTGGTGGTTGTTTCTTTAATTTGATGTTGCCCAATAACCTATCTCCTCGTTCTCTCTTGGGCGCGACTTTGATAGTGGAATCGTCGTCACTCACGACGGAAACTGTTGGTTCTATCATTAATATTGTTTGGTTGGCAGGAAGATGGGAAGAAGTTACCTCTACCATTTGTCATATTGTCGCGCAACTTTAAGAAACAGTGTTGTGGAAGATGTGATGATGGTTAATATTTCTTTATAGATGATGTGAGGTTGTGGCGAGGCTGAGATAGGGTTGATCTCGGCTTGATTCGGTTTGTTCCGGTGGGTTTTAGGTTCAATATGATATGCTTGCAGCCTTGACCTGGCCTCGGTAACTGTGGCTTGTGGGGTGTGGGGAATTCAAGGTTGTCTTGGCTTGGATTTCTGGAGTCTCTTTTAATTGAATCTGATATCGTCAAAAGTATCGAGGTCTATATTTGGTGAAAGGTGGCAACGGAATCTCAATTCTTCATTTTAGGGCGTAATGTCAGTACAGTCAGCAGTAGCATTCTTCACAACAGTATAATATATTCCTCCGGGGGCCACTGCCGTGGAGGCAGACTATTTGGAAAGGAATATTGGCAACATATTTCTCTTTTTCCCTTTACAGTAACTCACAAAATCTATCACGAAAATTGATAGTTCCTTTGGATTTGTATTCATAATTATTGTAAAGTATTGTCTAATTCAAGCAATGCGTAAATTCTTTATCGCATATATTCCAGCCTCTATATGTATTGCATCTATTGTGAAGACTTGTCTTCTTCTCACATACCCTCTATTTTCCTCCACGTATATGTGGTGTACCTCCCAAATATCCAAAACACAACAACGCAACGACGGCACACATACCTGCCACCACCGCATTCATATTTCCATATCCAATACTCTCCTTCAAAGACCCAGCAATCAACGGTCCAAGAGTAAATCCCGCACTAAACACCATACTATTCAAAGCATACAACTGCGCATAAGGTCCTCCCTCTCCAAACAGATTTTTATTCGCTCGATAGTACTTCTCCGCTACATACGAAGCTTCCACAATACTCGGTGCTCCAATCAAAGCCAATCCAACTCCGCACAACGAGAGTAATACACAGAAAGTAACAAGATCGTGCGTCGTATTCTCCGCCGGAAGACGAAGCAGAATAAGAGGTATGATGAAAAAGGTATATCCAGCAGTCCCAATGATCTTGGGTCCATATCTATCGACTCCCATGCCAGCCACGGGCCCAAGGATGAGATACGGAAGGACGAGAGGCATGAATAGTAAGCCAGCTTTCAGAGCGGGAAAACCAAATATTGATTGGGATTGTGTGGGAATGGTGGCGTCAAATACGCCGATGATGGTTGCTTGCATAAATGCTACCAGTTCGGCGGTAAGTAGTCTGGGCGAAGAGAGAAGGAATAAAATTGGGAATTTCTGGACCCATGCTGGAAGTTCTTTTTGGATTCTCCATGATTCGAGATCTTGATCCTTTCCATTTCCATTTCCCAGTAATGGTGCATTTTCCCCCATCCCCTCCTCACCATTTGCCCCTCTCCCGTCTGTCCTCTCACCATCGTTATCCACATCCCCATCCTCAACACAGTATTTCCTCGCCGTCTTCTTCTCAATCATCACCACTCTCATCACAAAATCCAAGCCCAACAACCCCAACCCCATCCCAAAAACCGCATTACTCCCCACCTTATCATACACCACACCCCCCAACACCGGCGCCACCAGCTCCCCCACACTAATAAAACTAAAGATACTCCCAATCGTGACCCCCAGCTTCTCACTTCCCACCGTATCCATCACCAGTGCCAACCCAATCGTCCACACCACCGCCCCACTAACCCCCTGAAACACCCTCGCCGCAACCAGCACCTCAATACTCCTCCCCATCATCAAAAGAACCGTACTAGCCAACAAAGCCACCAACCCAATCAAAAAAGGCAACTGTCTCGACGGCAATCGATCCGCAATATATCCCGCCGGGAACGAAAACACCACAGAAGCCCCCGCATAACTGGCCAGTAATACCGAAGTATAATACTGTATTTCCGAAGCTTCAACCCCCAGACGATCCGAGAGGATAAATGGGAGAATAGGCACGATTAATCCGTAGAGAAATAGATCGGTGAACATCCCAATAGCCACAGTCGCAAGAATAAACAGCGTATTAGAGCGAACTTCAAATGCCCATGGAAGACTCGGTGATGCCATGGCTTTTTGAGCGCAGCGCAGCGGGCTCGAGGAGGCAATACTCAGTAGAGCGAGAAGATATTGGCTACTTGTGGGTATTTGAGATTGTCAATGTGATGTCTTGGGCTTTAGACCATTGAAGTATATGATATGATATGTATGATATTATGTCAATATCAATATATAAATATGAATATGAAAATGAAATGAAATGAAATGAAAGAAATTTCTTTTTTCGGAATTCGAAAAAGACTTGTTACGCATATCGTCGTCATACTAGTACTTTTTCTTTCTCGAGTGTTTTTTCTAGCGGGTATTGGAGACCCGAAGCTAGTGATTGAGTGAGTGAGTTCCCGATCGGTATTGGTATTTATTACTTGTGTATGAATTACACAAACGGAATCGATATCTGGATTTCTTAAATATACCGGTCGGAATACTGAGTAGACAATTATTAAACTTGTACCGTACTGGAGTTATGATCAAAAAGATAAGATAAGATAAGATAAAATAGAATCCGATGATTTTGTGAGTTGAGATTATATATACTGGTATTGATCCTTGATCATATACTTAGCACGAGTAGAGTACTCGCATTAATATGTAGTTTCCCTTTAATACTCGTATATCTCCATGCAATATCCTCTTTTCCATCCTCTCTTCCATTCTCTTATCCCCCTCCCCTTCTTACTTTCATATATCTCCATACATCACATCATACAACACAACACAGAACAATACAACACTATATTATTATATTCTACATAACTCAAGTACCTAGATACCCACATCTTTCAATCTTCTCTTCTCTTCTCTAGTTCATCATGATCTTTCCACTCACTGCATTCAAAATTACAACAGATAAAAGAACTCACATATAAAGTAAACATACAACGTAACATCTACTCTCTACTCTATTCCTCTTCACTCCACTCCACTCCACTCCATTCCATTCCTCCCTATCTTCCCTTGCTTCATATTCTTTCTTTCTTTCTTTCTGTCTTAGGTATGGCATCCATACCCATATCCGCCCCCTTCCCTTCCATCGCAAAGAAATCAAATCATGATATAAATATAAATACAGACAAAGTCTCGTCACTGTGTAAAATAACCAGAACAGAAGACTCCCAAGTCCAACCCTATCATACTGTAGAATAGAAAGTCCATAATCCCCATACCATCCCTCCCTCCCTCCAATAACAAATGAAACAAAATCCAATCCACAAATGAAAACCCACTTTATTATTTCGAGCCAACTTTCCTGTTCATCATTAAATGTAACTAACCTTAACCCCCATCCCAATCGTTCTCTTAACTCTTCCCAATCCCTCACCCATCATCCTCCTGACCCTCTCCCTTACTTCCCTCCTCCCAAACACTACCAGGATCCCTGCTATGAAAGCTACCATTCTTAACATGGCCATTGGATTTCTGAAATTAAGACTTCCTCCCATATTCTCCAATAATAATCTCAAATTACGCATTATGATTCCCACTTTCTGTATCATGGTTTTCTGCTTCGTCTCTTCTACTGATTTTAGAGGGTGTGGTTTGGTGGTTGATGATTTTGGGGTTTTGGATTGTCGGGCATTATTAGGTGATGGGGATGATCTTGCGGATCCGTTAGTCACAACCGGAGTTTCGTCTTCGATTCCATAGTCGATCTCTGATGTTCCTCCTGCGCTTGCTTTTGCTTTCTTTTCCATTTCTTCTCGTCTCCTTTGTTCCTCTTCGCGCTGGCGTCGACTTTCTTCTATGTCTCTCTTCAATTGTTCCTCTCTATATTCTTTCTCCAATCTTTCTCTCTTCTCTCCTTCCTCACTTTCATCCTTGAGACTTCGTAATGCTCCAAGGAAAGCCTCTCTTCTTTCATCATCCAGGACTTCACTAATAGTGATGAACTCTCGTGCATAGTCCCACTCATTGTTGCGAAGTAAGACATGGAGGGTATATAGCTCTAGGATCTTCACACGAGCGTTTAGATCTCGTGGTGTGTCTGTTCCGGGTTGGGAGCGACGTTTGGAACCTGGGAAAGGATTGGAGGCGGTAGGTGTTGGAGATTGGGACATGGAAAGGGAGGGAGTATCAGATGTTGCGAGATAGGTTTCGAGGCGAGTTTGATTAATCTTTTGAGTGCGAGCATGAGCTAGGAGAAGGGTTGCTCTATTTTGTTATTAGTCTCTTTCCTTCATAGTGGAGATATCTGGGGTTTGAGAATGTGCGGGGAAAACGAACAAGTTTATGACAACGTCTGAATCTACATCTCCCTCAATTCCATGATATCCATTCTTTACAACCTCTTCCCAAACTTCTCCGTCCCTGACTTTGGCGACTAGTGCTCTAAATTGACTTGTTCCAAATGCTTGTTTTCCTTCTGCGGGATCCAATTCCAGAACCGCATTCAAGATTGTAAGATATAGACTCCAGACTTTGATACGAGTAGTACGCGAAGCTTTAGATATTGAGGTCACCGGATTTGTAGAATCATCGGGATTGTTGTTTTCGCTATCGGAAGAAGAGGATGGTGTAATTACTGGTAAGATAGTTGAAAGCGATTCGGGTAAACGACGCGTTAGAAAGAGAGTTGAAGCTTGACGATAAATTTTTGAGATTTGAGATATATGACGAGAGGAAAGGGAACGAGAGAGTGATGAATGCGATGATGAAAGTATGTGTGATGAAGATAGTTGATCTGTTTGATCGATTGTCGTCGTAGATCCACGGAAAGCCATATTTATTGAATGAATAGAGCTGTAGAATTAATTAAAAGTCGAAACGCGATTGAAGTGCGAAGACGTGTGGAGGGGAAGTCCTGGAATGAGGAAATGAAATGAAAGTTAAAGGATGTATAACATCTGAAAATGTCTTTGATGTTTGTAATGAGTTGAAATGTTTAGAGCCTCGGTCCAGAAAGATATGGATTGAGCATGGGGGCGGTGTGCCGAGTGATTTGATTGGTGTATAAATGAAATGAATTGAAATGATTTATGAAAGGCTGAATAAATTTAAGCATAATTCTTCACTTCATAAAAAACACGAGACAACATGAAGCAAGCAGACAAAGTTTGATTTTATATCTATATATATACCTATATACTGAGAAAGCACAACAACACACAATCAAACATACCTAGGTATATCAGACAAGAGAAAGTCAAAGAAGGTAAAATATGAAATACAAATACAAATACAAATACAAATAAATTCAATCTTTCTTATTCATCTTGTCGCCTTCCCCTTTGGCTTGCCTTCCGCATCCTCTACTTTACCAACCTAGATATCTTCTTCGCAGTTCAAAGTTCAAGTTCACATTCAAATTCAGGTATGATATGAATATTCTACAACTAAAGGAATAATCAAATTCTCAGATTCACCTTATTCTGAATTTTGGACTCCTCCGCTTTTTTGTGGTAAAGTGGTTAATATTCCCAAGTTCAAATCAAATCTTCCCCCAAACTCGAATATCCTTCCTTCAAGCAGTCAACAATCCCAGTCTCTCCCCACCAAAGCATTGGCAAAATGGAGGTCCATAAAGATAATTGGAAGCAGCTTTTGCTCCCAATTTTGAAGGATATTGCAAATGCTACTTTCGTTTCCTTCGATCTAGAGATGAGTGGTATTACTACACGACCAAAGCATAGTAATCAAGAGCGAACTCATGATATCGGAAAGCCAAGTCTTCAACAACAATACGAAGAAGTTAAGGATGCCGCCGAGACTTTCCAAGTTCTTCAACTTGGTATCACTTGTGTTTTGGAAGAACGTGAAAAGGGTCAGTATAAATTCTTCTCATCGCCACTCTTGATTTTTGGATATTAACATTCTTCAGAATTTTATCTTGCTAAGCCATATAACATCAACCTCAGTCCTCTGTTCATCTTTGACAGAGTTTTTGATCTGGATCGCAACTTTTCTTTCTCCAGTTCTGCGACTAACTTCCTCCAATCTAATGGCTTCGACATTGGTGCTGTTTTCACCAAAGGGGTTCCCTACTTGTCGGAGCAGGAAGAAGTCGAGACTCGTGAACGTTATGATCAAAGAATTGAGAGAAATGCAGCAATTCCTACCATCATTTTCGACCCCAGTGATGTTGGAACATTGAACTTTTATCGAAGAGCCAGAACGACTATCACTGAATGGCTGGAGGCAAAGGAGGTAAGTGATATTTGCCATACTGTCACTGCCTGCTGAAATGATTCTACATTTTCCATTCTAAAAGTTATACTTCCATGGTTCTAGTTGGACTTGAGTATTGTAACAGCAGTGGACTTGTCACATGTTCTCGATATTTGATTACAAATAGATGATCGAATAGACGTAGTGTATTGTCTGGGTTTTTTTTTATGGACGATATAGAGTGTTATTGGCTGGCTATCTTAATTGCTTGCTAATACAATGTAGCCCAAGACAACTTTTGTCAACGTCGATAATCCCAAAGGTCCTTTGAATGGTTTCCAGCGAAGATTGGTTCATCAGCTTGTCCGCAGCGAGTTCCCTCAGTGCAGATGCTTTCCTCGTTTGGATGGATCTTTCATGCAGATCGAAATGATCGATCACGAGAAAGAGGCAAAGGTATGTTGATTTTGATTTACTCGAACGGCTTATTACATGATATATTAAACGGTGCTACATACACTCTTGCCCAGTATCTACTGAAAGCTCAGTGCTACACATCACTAACAATGAATAGAAAAAAATTGAGCAATTGAAGATATTCAACCAAAGAATTGCCATGCAATCTGGAGTACGATTCATCTTCGAAGCTCTTTGCGGTGGTGATTTAACCGGCATCGATCCAATGTGGTCATACACGGGTGATGAAAGCACACAACCTAGCAGTCTCGATTCTTCACGGCCTGTCCTTGAAGCCGAACTTGCAGCAGTTACTAAGAAGCTTAAGGAGAAGCAACATGTTATCGTCGGTCACAACCTGTTCACTGATCTTTGCTTTCTCTACAAGACCTTCATTGGTACCCTTCCAGCTGGTGTGGGAGATTTTCAATCTCAAATTCACTCGCTCTTTCCCTTCGTCATCGACACTAAATTCCTAGCAACCTACAACAGTGATGCCATGAACCCTCGTGTCAACCTCAAAGAGTTATTAATTCCAGTTAGTATAACCAGTTCCTTAATTGCACACTCTCGATATCCAAACCTCATCGAATGTTTCATTTAACTTTGTCTTACACTTTTTGATGCAGTTGAACCCCTTCTACTCTTTGGTCCTTTCATTGATATGCAAATACTGACTCCCAAACGTTCTAGTTTCAAAAAGTACACATGCCACTCATTCTCCTTCACGAAGAACATAATACTTATGGCGCTGCTTCTGGTAAATCCCACGAAGCCGGATTTGATAGTGTGAGTACAAATCCTTTTACACCTTGTCCAAATCCAAATAGGTTGATCTATTCACAAGAGCAATTCTATTCTTCTCAATCACCTTCTTAGTAGACAACCACTAATCTAGTACTCCAGTGGATGACGGCCGAACTTTTCGTCAAATTATCCGCACAGCTTTATGCTAAAGAAACAGATCTTGATCAATATGAAGATATTGTCACAGTCGATTACCAAGAGAGAGATTACGACTCTTCATCTGATTCCGATGAACAAAATGCCGGTGGCGCCTCTCTTGTTCCTCAACTTGACAATCTGCCTATTGAACCCCCAATCTCTTCCGTCTCTGATACTCATCATCCAGCTCACTGGCACGCCATGCAACTCAACAAACCCGCTCTCAAAGTCAAATCTAATAATCCTTTCTTGGCCCTCAAAGTCGAATATTTAGATCAGGGAAATCCTAAAGGTAGTGAAGTGGAAAAGAAGGGGAAGAAGGTGGCGTTTCCGGATCAGATTCCTAAACAGTGGATTCCGAGTACGGATGATAAATTTTGGGAGGTTTATAGGAATAAATTGAGGGTTCATGCAGTGGAAGGTGAAGTTTGTGATTTGGATGGTGGGAGGGGTGAGAGGGGTGAGAGGGTTAGGAAGCAGGGGAGGAGTAGGGGTGATTGGGTTTAGAGGATGTAGTTGTGTGGGGGGGAGGAAGGGAGGAAAGGGGGATTGGGGGAAATTGGGTGCATGATGATCGGATGAAAAAAGGGTGAGGGGGACGATTGGGGGTTGAGTGGTGCATATATTGATGCATATCGAGGTTATTGCAATATATTTCGATGCGATGAACATGAACATGAATAAGATAGCGGCGAAACAAACCATATCTTTCAATGTTTCTTTTCTGAAAATTATGATATCGTAGATATGCGTGGATCTTATATATTTTATCTATATCTACTGGAATATAGATACTCTCTTAATGCTTTCAGTTACGGATTGTATGAATGAATGGATGGATGAGATGGAATGGTTGCATGAGATGGAATGATTTCATGTATATACTCGAGTACTTGGAGATGAAGAAGAAGAAGAAGAGGGGAGAGGAGGAGAGGAGAAGGAGAAGGAGAAGAAGAAGAAGTGGTGAGTGAGTATTCTTTTGTTGATTTGATTGTATAATTCTGTGCTATTGATAGATAAGTAGATAGTAGATGAGTAAGGTAGTAGGTAAGATGATCTTAAACTAGTAAGTGGATTGCCAGTGAGATTTGTTATAAAATCAAAAATTTACAATCTTTGAAATTTTATAGAAAATTCTAATGTTCTAATTTACTGATTAGTAAGATAGATAACTACTATAGATCTATATTATTATTAAGCGATAGCGGTGGTTTCAGAATACTACTATATATACTCGAGTAAAGAATCTCAAATATAACTAGTTCGGGGCGGAAAGTTCGCTCAAGTTTTAATCTCAAAGGTACAACAGCAAATCGCGCATCTATCTGATGTGGTGTGGTGTGGCGTTTGGTGTATTTAACATGTGCATGTGCATGTGCATGTGCATGTGCATATGCATATCCATTTACTGTACCCTTCAATTGTTGGGACGGGAATACAAGATGTGCATACCTATGCATATGTTAATGATGATGATGATGATGAGATGAAATTGTGCAAATCAACCTTGGGAGATACAACATGAGACTTTTATTTTTATTTTATTTTAGTTTTATATTAATCTTGTGTTGATTCTGATTCTGAATATACAGTACTATCTTTGATGATATGATATGGATGGATGGGTATTTCTTCTACTCGAGTATTTTCTACGAGTAGATCAGTGTGCACACTGTATAGACAATATCAATATCGCAACCTCGCAAATTTATTTATTTATTTATTACGAGTCAAGGGGGTCGAGATCTGTGGTGTGGCACTGATGGATGAGTTGGGCGAAGTGAAGTGTTCTTTTTACTAAGCTGTTTGGAGAGATGATATTGATGATTACTCCGTACTGTACTGGGTGGATGGATGGGTGGGGAAGGACCCTGCGTTGGGGATTGACTGGGGTGAAGTAGATTTGTATTAATTTCATGACTGGTTATTGGTTGGATGGATGAATGGACGATTGGTGGTTAATATAATATAATATAATATATGAAGTTATACCAGTAAGTATAGAAGTAGAAGATGTAACGAACGGTGAATAGTAAACGCTGAACGGTGAACGGTGAACGATGAACGGTGAACGGCGTGTGTAACACAAAAACAGTTTAAACTCTAACAATTCATTTTGACATGTGGATATTCATGGTTAATGAGGTTGTACAAGAAGAATACCAAGAAGTTGACACGATAACCACTTCGTAAAGTTTACGACAAGATATCATCAACAAGTCAGCAATTATCAGCAATTTCAAGCCATTTCCAGCCAACGAAAAGAATGTTATAAGATGCTCAGACTCTTAGAGAGAGAGAGAGAAGATGATTATTAGATACAGATAAGAGGAGGGGAGAGGGGGAAGGGGATGAAGAATTCATGGATTGATTATTCTGTTAATCGAGACTTCGGGTTGACGAATATCAGGATAGGATGATACCGGCAACTGATACTGATAACTGACTTAGCATTGACTTGGGACTTGTTTCAATGCATGGTTTCTCCTGAGGATCTCTACCGCATTTCATTCTTGAAGATGGGTGGGTGGCTTCGTATCTATAATTCTATGCTCAAGCCTCAAGAAGAATATTTGCTGACAATCTGACATGACAGTCAGTCTGACATACAGCCGGTAGGTAGGTGGTATTCTAATTATCTAGAAATGAGATCTAAATCTTTACCGGGATCCAATCAAAAGTTTCAATTGAATCCAAAATATACGGTTGGTTTACCTCAAAATTCAAACTCCAAAAGGAACTTCCAATCAGGAAGATTCTAAATAAAATAAAACTGTTGAGGAGTAAAATTGGATCTATATTCCTCTCATGAATCCTTGAAGTGGATTAGGAAAATGAACGGGGAACGTGGTTGATACCAAGAGAAGTTGAACCTTTTTTTCTTTTTTAGACGCGAACTAAAGAAGGGTAAGGGTAAGGGTAAAAAAATATTGCACTCACACACTCACACTATATTCATACTTGTATTCACATTCACATATAAACTTCAACATTCCGCACTTTCAATTCCTTTTTAAATTTCCTTCTTTTGAAATCTTGATACTTTTCAATCTTTGAATCTTTCAATCATTTCATATATTTTTCTCTCTTTTTCTTCCTTTAGAAGTATTAGAAATCTGGGATTTTCTTATTGCTGTCTCAAAAGGTGGCTTTCTGACTTTCGGTATTTCATTACATTTAAAAACAAAAATAAGAATCTCTCTCATAAGAAGTTGAGATCTTTCAATTGTTTCAATTGATCGAGAACAAATACGAGATCAAGAATCAATCTTTCAAACTCGACTTGGAGGGAAAGAAAACCCACAAAGATGGCACCTTCAACTCGCTCCTCGACGAGCGATACCCTCGTGGAGGAAAAACAACCTCAACATCTTGATTTGCATGGAAATGTCTTCGAACTCCCAACTTATACCATGAAAGAAATTCACGACGCCATTCCAGCTCATTGTTTCAAGCCTTCAATCATTCGATCAATGGCATACGTCGCCCGCGATTACTTTTACGTCTCTACTCTCATCTATCTCGCCGTTACCTTCATCCCGCTTCTTCCCAACCCATACCTTCGATTTGCAGCTTGGATCGCATATACGACCATTCAAGGATTCGTCTTTACCGGTATTTGGATCTTGGCACATGAATGTGGACACGGTGCATTCAGCAAGAATAAGAAATTGAACTGGACTATGGGATTGATCATGCATTCTTTCTTACTTGTACCATTCCACTCCTGGAGACTTTCCCACTCTCAACATCACAAAGCTACTGGAAATATGGAAAAGGATACAGCATTCGTTCCACACACCAGAGAAGGTTGGGTTCAGAGACACTTTGGGGCGAAGGCTAAGACAAACATGATTGAATTTGCTGAATTGGCAGAAGATTCTCCAATTTACTCCCTTTATCATGCATTTATTCATCAATTGTTTGGATGGCCAGGATACTTGATTGCGAACTTGACTGGTCAAGATTACGATGGTGCCAAAGGAATGAAAGTTTCTCACTTCTATTTCGGCGAGGATAGTGTGTTTTACAAGAAGCATGAGTTACCTTTGATCGCTTTGAGTGATGTTGGAGTAGCGGTTATGATTGCTGGTTTGGTTTGGGCTGGTCAAGTCTTTGGTAGCTTCAATGTTATTGTTCTTTGGGGTGTTCCATGGTTATGGGTTAATAACTGGATTGGTGAGTTTTCTTCTACCCATTGCCCCTTAACTATAGGTCAAAACTAACTTCTTCTGTTACAGTTGCCATCACCTTCCTTCAACACACCGATGCATCCATGCCCCATTACAATAACAACACCTGGAACTTCGCTCGTGGTGCAACCGCAACCATCGACCGTGATCTTGGTTTTATCGATACTCATCTTTTCCACGACATCATTGGTACCCACGTCTGCCATCACTTGGTATCCACGATCCCATTCTACCACGCCGGTGAAGCAAGTCAACACATCAAGAAAGTTATGGGACAACATTACAGAGCCGATGTCAAGACACCATTCTGGACTGCCTTCTGGAAAAATCAACGTAATTGTAGATTCGTCGAAGAATCCGAGGGAATGGAAGGAACTGGTGTTTTCATGTATAGAAACTTGTACAACAGAGATGGAGAAGTTCACGCCAAAGATCTTACCAATGGTCAAGCGGAGATTGCAAAAGAAAGTGGAAAACCAGTTGTTTCAAAGGTCGTACCAGTTGGTAACATGGCTACAGCTATGTCTACAAGCAGAAACATAAATGCCGGAAGAAGATTGAGTCAAAGTGTTCAAGAACGCGCCAAGGCTGGATTACCTCTTCTGGCTGAGGTTTTGGGAGAATAAATTTATTTTCATTTGATGAGTATGCTATAGAAGATGATTGGTATTGTACCACGTGCATTGGTGGATGGAGTTGGGGAGTTTTAAGATTTGAGAGTTGAAAGAAAATACATGGAATACGATACCGAAGGTGATATCGAAGGAAAGGAAAGGAAAGGAAAGGAAAAAATATTATAGAATAGATCTTGTTTCACATTATATCACGTCAAACATCTTTTTAGAGATTGGTTGGTTGGTTGGATCATCGCTGGGAGTTTTTAACTCGGAGTGAGATGAATTGAACTGGACTGGACTGGACTGGATAGATGGATGGATGGATTAGACTAGGTAGACTAGACTAGAGTAGAGTAAAAATAAAATACAGGAAATATATCCAGAATCGAAATCTTGATCAGTATTGTTGTTTTATATCATTATATTGGATATAGTTCACATTCCCTCCTTCCTTTTCCTTCTTCGAAAACAACAAAGTATAATGATTTGAATTGAATTGAATTGGTTTGGATTGATATGGTTTGGATCAGATTAAACTCCTTCCTCTCTTTACTAAGTACTCAGTACCCCTTACTCATATAATCATTATAATCGTTATAGATGGTATAAAGCTAACTATCTAATTATCCTAGTTAGGTAGGGGGGAGGAGAAGGGGGGGAGAAGAGGGGGATGGAAGAGAAGAGGGGATGGAAGAGGGATGGAAACAGGGGATGGAAGAGGGGGGAAGGAGAGGGGATAAGGAGAGGGGGAGGGAGAGGGAGGAGGGAGAGGGGATGAGGGGAGCATACTACTACAGTAAACCATATGATTTTGATTATCAATACCGGTATTCTCGATTAGTTGATTTAGTGAAAGGTTCTTTAACTAATAATTTAATTAATTTCTGGCTATACACAGACTATACTGGAAGAGAGAGGTTAGAGATGAGGATGAATATGAGTATGAATATGAATATGAAGATAGGATCTGGGAGAGGTTATGGGGAGGAGTTTGGGGTTTTGAGAGGTTGGAGAGATGGAGATGGAGATGGATATGAATATGATATTGGGTTCCGATTGTTTAGCTATAGATTGGAGTGATTGGTTGGTTGCTTGGTAGGTTGTGTGAGTGGTTGTTTGAGTATTGAATTGGAGGTTGGAGTGATTCTAAATCTAAATCTAGGGATTTGGGATTAGTCGCCTTCTCTCATTGTCGAATATCATACATACATCTTACCTAGATCCTACTAGCACTCGTACCAGCCCCGTGATAAAACAATTTAGATAGATAGTAGTGCGAGTCTGTTTTAAACTAATAATTTGAAAAGTAATAATTTGAATTAATAATTTGAATTAATAATTTGAATTATATAAACTAATGTTGAAGGAATGGTTCTCGTGGTGCACGTGACCAGGGGAGCTAGTCCCATTTGGGGATAGCAGGAACTCTGGCTTACCTAGAGTTCCTCTCTTCATAATCGCTTATAAAAAATAATCGCTTTTTCTAATTAGAAACTAGAGAGTCGTTCTATAGAGAGCTAACTATTTGCCGTCTTTTGTTTTTGTTGGTATCACCGTGGTGGTGATGAAGTCAATAGTACTATCGTATTTCACGTATTTGTATTGCCTTGAGGAACTAACTATGGAGATGCTAATGCTAAATGATATACTCCGTGGTGGCCAAAGCGTCGCTTATTGCCCTAGCCCGTAGCCCTATGGCCTTACTACAGCTAAGTGAGTGATATCCAGACAGTTTTATATATAGTACTAGGGCACGTATAATGCCTAGGGCATAACCACGTGACCATATTCACACTCCTTTGGGCCTAGCCATTAGGGCTCCCAATACCTGTATATATAGTCCTCCTTTTAGCACCCTACATAGCTCTTCACTTGTAGATTCTAAGTACACAATCGGAGTCCTGTTTATACCCTTTTGGTCACAATATCAAATTCATTTTAGATAAAGTTATATAAAAACATAAAAATTTCAAAAATAAATATCAAATTATTGATATTCTATAAATTGAATTGATTATAACTATTTCAAATCGTATTCGTTTTGAATAGAATTTTATAAATAGATTATTTAATGAAATATTATGAAATATTGAAAGTTTCACGAAATCATCTAAAGAAATAAGCTAGCGGTATATATTTTGATTTTCGCCTATGCGTCTTTTAAAACCCAGCCGAGTATTGGTTCCAACAATTGATTCTCTTCAACTTAACCTTACCTACAAACAAACAATTGTCTTTTGCCCCCTTATCCCCCCGTTTGACCTCGACAAAGAATACTGAACGATATACCGTCACCTTTATTCTGTACATCATCTCTATTGTGTACCATCATCTTCTCTGTAACAAAATGGCACCACTACCATCTTCCTCTTCTCCGTGTCCCAAACGAGGCCATCGATCTATGTCTGGCAAGAGCGTCGTTATAAGCATCCTTGGAGGTGCAGGTAAAGGAAAAGGTCCCGGTGCGCGGGGAATTGGAGGTCCTCATTTGAGGAGACACCGGTAAGATCTCCAATCAACTTGATACTCTTTTGAAAGCTTAAAAGATTTTTGAAGCAACTTCATGCTTGTCATTTCCGTCGAGGATTGCGCAGCTCATAAATACAGTCAAAAGTTTGCTAATATGTTTCCGATCTTAGCAAGCTTCCGAAAGATAATATCTACGGCATCACCAAAGGTGATATTCGGTACGAACTCTTGTGACAAGATTGAAGACGCAAACTAATCATGATATACAGTCGTTTTGCTCGTAGAGGTGGCGTGATGCGTATTTCAGCTTCGATCTACCAAGATGTTCGTGAGGCTATCAAGGCTCGCTTGGCGACTGTTTGTTATACTCTGCAATATCTAGGATCAACGTGTCTAACACCTTACAGGTTCTGCGCGATTGCGCTACTATCGTCGAGCACGCAAAGCGCAAGACTCTCACTGTGAATGACGTGAGTTTCATCTTCTACGACTGGGTTTAACTGGTGAGAAAGTCCATGCTGACAAAGATACGTTAGGTTATCTGGGCCCTTCGACGACAAGGGAAGCCAATTTATGGTTTTGATTACATTAATAATAAATGATAAATGAATGATTGGTATGGCTATCGATTGTACTGCATTCGTTGGCGACGATACCTCTTTGCGGATTATTTGGGATTATTTGGGATATGGGGATTCTGGTGCACAATAGTTTTTGTCTTTGTGATGTGGCTTTCACACACGATATTAAGGAAGTTTCGAACGGCAGAAGTGCTTTTGTGGTAAACTACTGATTCATTGATTCATTATATGGTATTTTAAGGATGAGAATAGAATTGGGTTTATTGCTTTTCTTCCGCAGTCAAGCGAGCATATTCCGAAGCCAAACCTATTTGGATATGGTTTCCAACGACATATCACACCATCGTTCTACGCCTCCTTGCCTCTCACATCCATTCTTCCATCATTCGAAAGTATCCTCTCCACCTCCACATCACTTTGCATCTTCGTCACCTCACGTCACTATTCCCATTCTCATTCCCATCTCCACCACTCCCTCCACCAGCACCCCCCTTCCTCATCTCTCCCCTATTCCTTAATTTTTCCCTCATTCTCCACTCTCCCAACCTCCCTCCTCCCCCACGATTCATTCACCCGTCTAGCACTAGCACCCCCATGCCATACCCTCTCACTATAAATCCCTATTTTTGGTCCGCCTGAATATTGTGCCTTGCGCACCTTCTTCTTGCGCGAAAAATACGTGCAGG